TTTGTAATTCCACATCAGACAGTCCTGAAACGACGCAGCTGACACTGTGGGAAGGTGTACTCTCAATCTGAGGTGGAACTGGTCTGTGCAATCCAGAACTTTTATTTTTATAGCTTTTTGAATGTAGAGATGCAGCAAGCGTATATTCTTGCTCTTATTTTGTAATATGAGTATTGGAGGGCTTTTATTTTGGTATTCAACATCAGACGGTTACTGACTGTGTGTTGGGGGGGAAAAATCGCGTTCGCTGGATGAGGAGCACTGCATTCAGGTCAGTTCTCTGACGGTTTTACCGTAAGAGGCAGTTTATGCGCGACCCTCGAAATAACGTGGCGGCTAGATTGACCGTGCTTTTCGACTTGGCGGCTGGCTTGACCGCAGTAGATCTTTGGAGCTGCTGCTGTTCTCTCCACTGGACAGAAGCTGGAACTGCACTGCAAGCTGAGGAGCTGGTGGAGGACTGGAGTTCAGCGCTTCAAGAGGAGGATGAAAGGAAAATGGACAGAAGGAAAAGAGAGAAAGACGCAGTTTTCAGTTGCACTGATAATCGTGTATCACAATTAAATTAATCCATAATTTATCTATAAGCATTTACTTTACAATTGACACAGACACGACCTTTTAATAAATTGGACTCTATGCTGTCACGAACAGGTTTCCAGTGAACTCCCTGTGGTTTGTACACAGCAAACAAACCATCCATTTTACGGAAAAGACGTATAGCCTGCGCGGCCATCTTCTAGAAACAAATGTTACAAACATCAATATAATATTAGGTAAATGACCAAAATTTCTGACAAGCAAGGAAGTCAAAACATTCACATGCTGCTGTGCTGAAATTCTTCTTCTTCTTCTTCTTGTGTGATTTGCTGCAGCTTAGATGCTTCAAAGGCGTATTGCTGCCCTCCTCAGTTCATCTGAAGAACTCCATCTCATAGATTAAATCCTCAAATAAAGACCAGTGTGGAGTAAAAAATTTATAGCAACCTTTGTTGCTTCATATTCCTTATCTTCAAGAATCGATTTTAAAGATAAAGATGAGACTCCGGATTCCAACAGATCGGAAAACATGCGGTTTCTTGCAGCACGAAGAATTTCACACTCCATACTACATGCTTCATGGTTTCTAATTCTCCACACAAACATCTGCCATCTGGATGCTTGCCAACCCTTGCCAGCCCATAATTCAGGCTGAATTGAAAAAGAATGTCTATCTTTATCTCCTTCTTCCCATTCTTTCTGCCATATTTGCTTTATTTTTTGCTGTATAATACTCTTGCACTCAACTCTTCCATACATTACTTTCAAATCAACTTCACTCTTGTGTGTAGCTTTTTTTGCCATCTCATCAGCCACTTCATTCCCCTGAATCCCTACATGTGCTGGAACCCACATAAATCCCACTATATTTCACACTTTTATCACCCGATTTAGTGCAACCAGAATTTTAATTATTAAATCTGGTCTGGCCTCACTCTTCCTGCCCTTAATTGCCATGAGTGCTATAAAAAATTACAATTTTTATTTAAATTGTGATTTTTGATTTATAAATGCATCAGATGTTAATTACAAAGTGTGTAATACCTGCTTTGAGTTAACAATTTGAAATTTAAATAAATTTACACTTAAAATATAAATGAAAAATGTATTTCAGTCTTTAAACAACTGAAAAAGTGGAGTACCTTAAGTCTTAGTTTCTTGAAATATACTGTATATTGATTAGCCCCTTTAAGTTGAACTAGCTCATTATCAGGTATACCATTCCTTATAATGCTTTAAGAATAACCTTATAATGTATTATAAATACAGGCTTCATAGAAAGTGTTACCGTCAATCCTTCTATTAAAATCTTCCACTTCACTGAAATCGTTATCAGAGAACAATCACTGTTGGGTTAACAGAAATATCAGTCACAACACAAACAAATAAAGAAACGCACTGCAAATACTCACAACAACAAACGCAAGTACAGACCACAATTGGTGGACCCCAACAAAATGAAAATGAACCATGTTTTTATTTTGTATTGATTACCATTTGTATAACCACAGTTGTACAAATACCATGGTTAAACTATGGTTAGTGTAGTAAATCCATGGTTAATTTATGGTTAGCATGGTTTAACTATAGTAACCATTTTTTGTTTTTATTTATTTTTTACAAAATAAATGTATTTATTAATTTTAATAGTAAAACCATATGGTTAATTTTTGTAAGGGAAGTTGTAAAGTAAGTTAGCCAACTTACATGCTTTCACAGTTACAGTAATTGTGTATTTCGTCAGCTTATTTACGCTAATAATTTAAAAGAAAAAAGACAAAAAAAGAAGAAGTAGCAAAGGAATCGTATGATCAGGATGTTAAAATAAACAAAAATCTCACCTTTCAGAGCAAACAACTACGGCCACCGTAGTTTTGCATGTTTTCAACCACCTAATTCAAATTCGAAATACTCTTGAATAAGAATAATTTTGTGAATTCTATCAAAAGTAAAATGCTAGTGCAATATAAAATCCAGTCTTATCATATTTCCTGGAGGTTGTTGATTTTTATTGATAAATAAATAAAAATGGTAAGACATCTGATTTTGATGTATTGTTTGAAATGTTTGAATTGTTAGTTCACAGCAGATAAAAGGCAGTTGTAGTAAAACTGTTTAAGCAGGTAAACAAAGTAAATGTTGAACAAATAAAGTGCATTCCCTGAGCCTGATCGTGACTGTCAGGAATGTGGTCTATTCAAAGAGTCTTCTCCATGGTAAAAAAAAACAAAAGCTATGGGAATAAAATTAAGCTTTGACCTTTACTTTTGTCATAATTATTTATTGTATAACATATAGTCGACCTATCAAAATGAACCCTTTACATGCAAAAATATCATTATAAAATAATTAATGGTTTACAGTTTCAAGTCTCTTGCACGTTGAATAATCTGACAGTGACCTGAGAATGAAGTGTAATGGGGTAACAAGCATAAATCTTGGTGTGGATCAACAGTTTATGACCCGTCCCCAATAAAAGAACAGGGTTTATTACATGTTCACGTTGGCTTACTATGCATAATTGCTATAAGATTATGTTTTACCATTAATTTGTGTTTACCACTGCAATCAAAGCAGACCTGCACAGTCTCCTTAAAATTGCAGGTAGAGCAAATCATTAAAATTATTATTCTGCCCAAAATGGTATTTTAAGTCAAAACTTTTAATGTTTAAAAAAATGGGATGCATTTTAATTTAATTTAAAGTTTATTTGGGCAGAGAATGCTCCTCAAAAACTGACAAACCATTTAAAAAGTGGGAGGAGGTTTCCAAATCATATTTAATTATTAGTAGCAAATATAAATATGCCCTTCACATCGCACATTAATAATCTGACACACTTGTCATGGGTCTTTTGTCTAGTAATGAATTTTTCAGATGAATCAGGTCTATAAGTTTGGACCGACAAGCACTGTTTTAGATTATTCACAGCTACAACATACAATGTATCACCAGCTAAAAGATGAATTCATCTAATTGTAATTGCAAAAATATTAGAAAAACAGAAAATATCTATATACAAGTTTTGTCAGATTTCATGAGAAATGGAACATTTGTAATGAATGTATTATAAAATGTAAATAGAGAAAGACAGCATATACAGTAGTTTCTGTAGAAAGACTAATAATAATAATATGAACAGTAAACAAACAGATCTACATCATCTTTTATAAACTATTATATGATAATAAAATGATAAAGTAAAAGCACAGTATGAATGGGTGTGTGTGTTTGTATATACATATACATATATTTACACACACACACACACACACACACACACACACACACACACATGTCTAGTTTGCTATCCTTGTGGGGACTCTCCATAGGCGTAATGGTTTTTCTACTGTACAGACCGTATATTCTATTGTCCTACACCAACCCTACCCCTAAACCTACCCCTCACAGGAAACTTTGTGCATTTTTAGATTTTAGAGTCTGTGTGTATTCAGGTTTAAGTCCCCACCAGAATAGAAAAACAGGTATACACACACACACACACACACACATATATATATATATATATATATATATATATATATAGAGAGAGAGAGAGTATATAGTCTATATATACCCACACACCCTTTATACACACACACGCACACACACACCCATACTTGCTCTGCAGTGGCAGCAACGTAGCAGATCTATTCCACCAAGACCAAACACATTGACATTGCCATGTATATTACCATGCTAAACTCTCTGAGAGTTGTCATAGCAGAACTAAGTTTTCACCGACCAAGGATGTGGCAGATTATAATGACCTTTAATCTGATAATGCATCTTATTTGCTTAGAGTATATTGTAGCGTCTGGACCACTCCAACACACAATATATATTTT